ATGTTTTAATCCATATTTTGTCTAGAGACATGTTTTAATCCGTATTTTGTTTAGACACATGCTAAACATTGCAGTGTTACGACGCTATTTCGTTTGATGAAGTAATCTAAAACCCAGCATCAAGTTGAACTACTCTTATAAACAAAATATTACGCTCTTTTTTATTACGATGAAATGGTTATCTTATTGTATTAATACTGTAACGCTGGATATTTTATTAACTCTAATATTAATTACAAAGAAAAAAATGCACATATTTATTAGCCTAAGAAAGATAATGCAATAATCAAACGTTGGTAGTTTTTCAAAATTTGCTAAAACAAATTTGTTCCAAAGAAAAAAACGATCTTAGTGACCCATCTATAACCAATAATATTTAAAAATAATTATCTTAAGGTGTTACATCTCCTCAGTGTATTCTTGCAGTGTTTTTTGGAATACCTTATTCATTGATGAAGATATTTGAATAATAATAATAATCATTATCAATGTGACAAAAAAAGGCTTATTTCTCTTCTGGTGCAACTATTTTTTGAAACCCAGTAATAAATAAGAATCTCAATCTCAATAGGAACTTTTTGTTTGTTGTTAAAAGCAGAAATTGGTTTTTATTATTAACAAAATCATGTTAACTAGCTTAAAGCTGTTCTAAATTGCTTCTTAGCCTTGGATATTTAAGAAAAATGTACTTCAAGCATTTCCTATGTTTTACATCTGCATCAGTTTAAAGGTTATGACATAAAGCTACAAAAGTGTGTAATCAATACTTGTATAAAGTGTAAAGGTTAGCTTCATTTTGTTCTTATTGTTTTGCCCAGGACAACAAGCTAGGAGACATATGTTTTTCGTTACGTTATGTTCCAACGGCTGGAAAATTGACAGTTGTTATTCTAGAGGCTAAGAATCTGAAGAAAATGGACGTTGGAGGATTATCAGGTATTTTCACAATAAAAATATTCAGTTTCGGACTGATTAATTAATATTCATTTCCGATCAGTGCAAGCTACCCATTTAAGCGAAACTAGAAATCCACCTGGTAATGAGTGTAGTTGATTAAATATAATTTGATTACGTTCTTACTTATAAAGATTAGAATACGTTGCCTCATCAACTGGGTAACCTCACTGTTAGCGATATTTTCGGCGATAAACCCAATAGTATCTCACTATATTTCATCAGTTTAAGAGACTTAGAGTAGCCCTAATGAAAATAATTCATTACACTGAGGCCCGGAATGGCCAGGTGGTTAGGGCGTTCGACTCACAATCTGGGGTCGCGGGTTCAAATCCCCGGCACACCAAACATGCTCGCCCTTTCAGTCGTGGGGACGTTATAATGTGACGCTCAATCCCACTATTCGTTGGTAAAAGAGTAGCCCAAGAGTTGGTGGTGATGACTAGCTGCCTTCCCTCTAGTCTTGCACTACTAAATTAGGGAAGGTAGCGCAGATACTCTTCGTATAGCTTTGTGCGAAATTCATAACAAAAAAACATTACGTTGAGCTATAAATGTTCTTTTATAAATGCAAAAAGACAATAAACTGTTGATCCCACAATTATCCTCCAATTAGGATGAACGAAAGGTTAAATAATATTAGGGGTTGAAGTATTCTTTGAACATTTCTAAAACCAAATTCGATATCAGTAGTTATTTCCGTTTCAGAAATAAAATTAAGTGCTTCTGAGTTATCTAACATTTTGCATGTTCTCGTTGTAGACGAGGCTATGTGCGATCGAAACTTTGTTCACTTATAACTTCTGAAGCCCAGTGGTGTAATAAATTATTCTCATATCCATTAGAGTTATCTAAAGAACTGTAATTGTGTAGCTACCAGCATCTATTTCATATTTCTGTGTAGTCCCATTTATGCTAGCTACGAAACCCGTAGACTAAACATCTGAAACCATTGAAAATATGATCGGGTGTTTTCTACTAACTGTATAATAGGATTACTATTATCACACACATTTGACCATTATAGTGTATCCAAGTTTTAACATGCATGGTAGGCGCACTGTGAAAATAAAACTAAATACATTTACATTTCGAGGACATCAGTTTTACTCTGTTCTTCTAACCATTTCTAAATTTCCTGTTTCGGGTATATTGCTTTCAATTTTGGTTTACTCTCTGGATGTATGCTGTCAAATAGGCATAACACGGTAAAGCATTTCTAAATCCTCTTATGCTTGAATTCTTTTTCTCCCCCAGATATTAAAAAAAAAAAGAATTAAGCATTTTGAGTGTGTATACCAAATAACCGTTGAATGACATACGATCCAATGGTCAATATAGGGTGTGAGTGACAAATGACTCTTTCATGACATATAATATAATATAATGGTCAGTGCAGAGTGTGTATACCAATTAACTGTTTTGATAACACATGATCCAAAGGTCAGTACCAAATGACTGTTTAATGGTATATGATCCAATGGTCAATATAGGGCGTGAATGACAAATGACTGTTTAATGGCATATGAATCCAATGGTCAATATAGGGCGTGTATACCAAATAACCGTTGAATGACATATGATCCAATGGTCAGTATAGGGTGTGAGTGACAAATGACTCTTTCATGACATATAATATAATGGTCCGTGCAGTGTGTGTATATACCAATTAACTGTTTGATAACACATGATTCAAAGGTCAGTGCCAAATAACTGTTTACTGATACGTGATCACTATAGGGTGCGTGTCTGACAAGTAACTACTTAATGGCATGTGATCCAAAGGTCAGTGCCAAATAACTGTTTAATGATACGTGATCATTATAGGGTGTATGTCTTACAAGTAACTACTTCATGACATATGATCCAAAGATCAATGCCAAATAACTGTTTAATGATACGTGATCACTATAGGGTGCGTGTCTGACAAGTAACTACTTAATGGCATGTGATCCAAAGGTCAGTGCCAAATAACTGTCTAATGACATGTGATTGAATTGTCAGTGCCAAATAATTATTTAGTGACATATTATCTAAAGCTTCGTGAAGTAACCAAAGTATAGTGTTTTTGTTCTGTACTAATTAAAAGTGTGAAGAGACTGTGGATAAAACAAATCACGGAGAATAATATATTCAGTAACTGAATTACGCATATGTCGGATTTGGGCCAGAAATATAATGATGTTCGTTAGTTTCACACACAAGACTCTTCGACTTAATTGTCTTTGCTACTTTTTTGAACAATGAGCAACTTTTTCAGTAAAAGTATTCCAGCTTTCCTCTCAAGCAACAGAAGTGTCCTCATCCATATAATAGTTTGTTTGATTTGTCTGTAGTTCAGATTCTTTGATTTGACTACTGTGGTTCTCTCTCATGGTGGCTATAAAACCAGTATGATCATTTGAAACACTCTTTAGAGTGAACTATGTATTATATATACAAAATATTTTACATACTTACATAGAGGGTCATGAGATATGCATTTCGTTGGTTTCTAAAAATAGCACTAGGGGGCCGCACATGTAAGTTAGGCTAGTGTATAAGCATGGAATGAAATAGATAATTGTTATACTGTCACTATTAGTGGAAGACCCAATACGTTAGGAAGAATGACATTAAGATGGCTGCCATGCTGGGGCAGCACTCCGGGCATACCGTCACAGATACACCATAAAGCATACTGGTTAAAATGTTCTTATCAGCCACTTTTAGAGTT